TTTACATGCGGCACCTGTAATTGGTAACAGTGTCACCGCTAATTACTGATCCGGGCTGCGAATCTCTACAACGTCCCCGCGCGTGCCAGACACACACACACCCGCACGCACGCACACGCACACGCACACACACACGCACACACGCACACGCACTCACACCCACACACACACACACACACACACACACACACACACACACACACACACACACACACACACACACACACACACACACACACACACACCCCACACACCCATATATATATTATACACATATACTAGGCCCGTAGGCAGGTTTTTACGGGAAGGTGCATCCAACGAGTATACAGACCTAACGAGCGCCGGAGGTTGTCTGAGACCGCATTTTACGCGTTTTGAAGGCAGTATGATATGAAAATAGGCAACCAAAAGCGAACCTCACAACGTGGACTAATCAATTATTTTGTTTTAATATTATAACACTATTATAACACTGGGCCACCATACACCTGCAAAACAATTGTTTCGTGCTGCATGTAATATACGACCAGAAACAATTTTTCCGAGACATGGATAGACATAGTCGAAAAAACATTGAAATTTATTGAAATTGTCATCTATTGACTATCTCCGGCGCCGGCTGCCAATTAAACGTGGAATATTTTTCCTTTACTTATTTATTTCATTTTTACTACACAATCAGCGAATTAGAACACAAACAATGCTATTCTTTTTTTCTTAATTCACTTTCTTTTAAATCGTTGGTCCACAAAAAATGTACATCCGCAGCCTGTGGGTGGGGGGCGCACCCGTCGCACCCACCTTCCCTATGGGCCTGCATACACCCACGGGTAACAGCCGTAGCTTCGATAAGCACGTCAATTTGTCCTAAACCGTAATTACTTTGATAACATCAAAAGTAGATGATAGGGTTCTGATAACATGCGCGTGGCGTGGTGGCATCCGCGTTGAATTTTAGCGATGCTGAGTCATCATCATAGAAAGAAAACGCGCACGTTTGTACGAGAAAGAGCATGGGAGAAAGACGGGGATATAGGGTGAGTGAAAGAGTAATAGAGAGAGAGAGGGGTGGGGGAGAGCGCGCGCGAGAGAAAGAGAGAGAGACAGAGAAAGGGGTCACACAAACTGCGTACAGCTATATCTCAAGACTCTCATATATAGCGGATATCCGGCGTAGCGTTCACATTCCGCTTCCGCCAACGTCCAGGCATCATCGACGAACTGGCTCGCATGAGGTGCGCACACGCACGCACGTACACGTACACACGCACGACCCCGTGCGTGTAGACGTGCGTGCGTGCGTGCGTGCGTGTGTGCGTGCGGTCGTGCTGTCGTGCGTACGTGCGTGTGTGTGCACGGTCTTGCCTGCGCGCGTATGTGCGTGCGGTCGTGCGTGCGTGCGTGTACGTGCGGTCGTGCATGCGTACATGCGTGCGTGCGTGCGTCTGTGCGTGCCACGCACGCACGCACGTACGCACGCTTGTACACGCACGCACACACGTCTACACGCACACACGCACGCACGCATGCTCGCGCGCACGCTCGTACACACGCTCGTACACACGCACGCAAGCATGCTTGCACGCGCGCGCGTATAATAGCGCATATAACCGTGCGATGTGCAAATGATACGATAAGTTAACAGTAAGCAGCTAAGCGATTATCTTAGTGTCAACTATCGGTTCTTCCTCTTTCTCTCGCGACTCTCTCTTTCTCTCTCTCGCGTCTCTTTCTCTCTCTCGCTCTCTCTCTCTCTCGC